GCTCTCGCCCCGATAAAGGACCGAGAGCAACGTCGGGGAGCCCCCTGACCGGGGGCCGAAACACAGCGCATGGGGAGGGGGGGGCCCGCGCGGCTCTACGTTGTTTGTTGTCGTTGTTGTTGTTGTTTGTTGTCGTTCAGGGTTCGGCAGTTGTGGATATGGAGTCCGAGTTCCTGTCTCTGGGGCTGGACATCATCGGGCTGGGGGTGTTCAACTACGACTTCGGATCCATCACCTCGGAGTCGCCGGTTATCAAGGTGACGCGCGCTTGTGTGTGTGTTTGTGTGTGTGTGTGTGTGCGTTTGGGTGGGGTGGGGTAGGGTGGGTTGTTTTCGGGGGGTGGGAACGAGGAATGGGATGATATGCAAAGTCCAAGAAAAAGGGGGAAGAAGCGAGAGGAGAAGAAGAGGGAAATAGGGAGCCCAGCTTGAGTCGGCTGAAGGGTGGGTGGGCTTTGAGAGAGCTAACGAAAGGAAGGGACACGAGGGGGGAGTGGGAAGCGGGCGGGCAGGGGGGCCCTGCCCGGCCGGGTGGGGGGGACGGGACACCACGAAGCAGACGTAGATACGGATACCTGGAAAAGGTACTTTTTGGGAGGGGGGGACGGGGACGATGGGAGCGATGGGAAATTAAAATTACAGAACTGGTCATGGGCGGTGGGTGTGGGGCGGGGCGGCCTTTCCCCTCCCCCCCACATCCTTTTTCCTGCGAAGCAGCGGGGAGCAAACCGTTCCTCGTTTTCGTGCCGGGTTGTTGTGTCGTACAGGCCGTGTACGGCGTCCTGAAGGAGGCCGAGCATCGCTCTACATTCTACCTGCCGTACTGGAACCTTCCCCTGGCGGACGTGCTGGTGCCGCGGCAGGCAAAGTTCAGGTGGGGTGTGCGATTGACGTGTGTGTGCATGTGCATGTATGTATGTCTGCATGTATGTCTGCATGTATGTATGTATGTATGTATGTATGTATGTATGTATGTATGTATGTATGTATGTATGTATGTATGTATGTATGTATGTATGTATATGTTTGGCGGGGACTTATGTCGGGAGAACTGAAGTAGGATTTTGTACGTGAGCGTGTGCACCAATCACGTGTGCACATGTCCCCCCTCCCCCAAATCCCCCTCCCTCCCTTCCCCCCTTTCCCCCTTCCCCCCTTTCCCCCTTCCCCCCTCCCCCCTTAGGCGCGACCTTCGTGTCATCAACGACTGCCTGGATGACCTGATCCGTAAGGCCCAGGAGACCCGAGTGGAGGAGGATGCGGAGGCGCTGCAGAACAGGGACTACAGCAAGGTGTGTGGGTCTGTACGTGTGTTGTGAGGTGTGCTAGTGTATGTGCGGGGGAGGGTTGAAAGGGTTAGGAGGAAGGGGTAGTTTGTTAGGTTGTTAAGGTGCAGTTGGCAGTTTTGCAGTTAGCGGCAAGTAGGTACATACATATACATACATACATGCATGCATACATGCATACATACACACATACACACATACACACATACATACATACATACATACATACATACATACATACATACATACATACATACATACATACATACATACATACATACATACATGCATGCATGCATACATGCATACCCTCATCCCACTATGCCTCTTCTTTCCTCTCCCTCACCTGGTCCCCTCCTCCTCCTCCCGCACCTCTTCTCCACCCGCCCGCACCTCGTCAGCTCCGGGACCCGTCCCTCCTCCGCTTCCTGGTGGACATGCGCGGGGAGGACGTCACCAACAAGCAGCTGCGGGACGACCTGATGACCATGCTGATAGCGGGCCATGAGACCACCGCTGCCGTACTCACCTGGGCGCTGTACTGCCTGATGCAGTCCCCCGCGGCGCTGGAGAGGGTGCTGCGGGAGGTGGACGGGGTGGTGGGGGACAGAACGCCGAGTGAGTAACAGGGGTGAGGGGTGAGGAGCGGGGAGGGGTGGGGTGAGGAGAGGTGAGGGGTGAGGAGCGGGGAGGGAACCCCCAGGGCGAAACAGTCGCCGACTTGGAAGCATGTAAGGGGGTTAGGGGACGGAGGAGGCATTCACACACACACACAGACACACCTTCGNCCCCAACCCCAACCCCCCATCACACGCATGCGCCCTCGTACACACAGCCCTGGACGACATCAAGGCCATGCCGTACCTCCGCGCCACGCTGGGCGAGTCCCTGCGCATGTACCCCCAG